GCGCCCGCGGAGGCCATGCGCGCCACCCTGGCTGGCCTTGACTCTGACACCCGCTGCGCCCTCCTCACTCCAGAGGAGGAGCTGGAGGAGACGGCTGCCGGGCTGATTCAGGGCCCCTGAGCGCAGAGATGGCACCGGGCAGCGGCTCCTCTTACCCTGCTCCCGCCCGGGCGGCGGGGTGAGCTAGAACTGAAGCTGCGGCCGCTGCTCCCGCAGTTCCCAGTACCCCCACGTCACGCCGTTGCCATGGCTCGGGACCGGCTGAGGGAGGAAGCAAGGGGACAACGCGGCCTGTTGGGAGATGTAGTTTCACACCTCTAGTGAGAAAGGACACTGCAGTGTGTGTTTGGGAAGATGTAGAGTTGGCCCGGTAGCTCGAGGTCATCAAGGAAACTACTTGGCCGGTCTGAGGTCACAGACCTGATCCATAAGCACAAAGGCGACTTCGTGGGCGTGTCTACAGTAGATATCCGTTGATCTTCTGAAGGTCTTTTAGAGCCTTTATTATTATTCTGCCATGTTTACAGTTCTTTAAGTTCTGTTCAACCTTTGTAGCCTCCATAGTGCCTAGTGCTGTGCTTAAATCTTTGAGAAAGGAAATGAACGTTCCAGGCTCCGAGCTAAGACTTTGCATAGTTTTCTCCTTTAATATTTATACATAGAAGTAGAGGTAGGAAGAACCAAACTTACTTTTAGGGAAGAGAAACATCTTTGTCTGGAAAAATGTGCACTTGATGAAAGGTGAGAGACCCCATGGGTAGAAACCCAGACAACGAAATGTCACTATCCTGCTTTCCATCATGATACAAGGAGGAAAAAAAATGCTTTTGAGAAAAGTGGGGAGAACAAAAGAAAAAAAAAAGAGGAAAGAGAAATCAGCAGTTAGAGAGAGACAACCTAGGTGGGTACAAGAGCCATTGAAATTCTCTCACGTTAGAATAGAGAAGACGTTTTAAGAATTGTGGTCCCAGCTGTTATATTTAAAGATGTTTCTGCTACTACAGTGCAAGCCCCTCCTCTACTTTCTTTCTAAATCTTTAGTAAAGCTCTTCACATTCAGGAAAACTTTGAGTAGTGTTGTGTGGGTGGGGGGGGGATAAAATAATTAAAGACAGTGTTGTCTTTTGGGTCTAACTGGTGTGTAAGAGACATCTTGCCTAGAAACAGGTCTGGAAACAGATATAAATCCTCCAACTCCCTCCTCTCCTTGAGATTGGCATAAAATTTGGGCCTTCCACTGGGTATGGATTGATTTAAAGTTTGAGCCCATTTTATCTGGATTTCAAGGAGCAGGAGCTCTCCCTTGAACTACATTTAACATTTCATAAGGAAGATGTTTTAACCTATTTATATGTAAATAGACTATATATAATATAATATAATAAATCCTCCAACTCCCTCCTCTCCTTGAGATTGGCATAAAATTTGGGCCTTCCACTGGGTATGGATTGATTTAAAGTTTGAGCCCATTTTATCTGGATTTCAAGGAGCAGGAGCTCTCCCTTGAACTACATTTAACATTTCATAAGGAAGATGTTTTAACCTATTTATATGTAAATAGACTATATATAATATAATATAATATAATATAATATAATATAATATAATATAATCACATTTCTTTTTCTCTTCTAACATTTCTTTTTCCCTCAGTACCTCCCACCACAAACATCCAGGATACAGTATCTCCTTCCATTTTAACTGGAGCCACTCTCAGTTAGGCATGTGACCTTGAGGAACAGATTTACTTTTTCCAACCCCACTCTCTGTCTGGCCCTGCTCTCTCTGACTAAGGACTTACACATGTAAGACAGCTGCTTAGAGTGAGGATCTGGATCTGGCCAGATAAAAGACAGAAATTAACTGGGATACATGACAACTGTGACCTCATTAACACTTTGCCTTAACCGAGTTAACTGCTGCAGAATCCCCAAGGTACAATAGGCCTGCCAAGCCAATTTGCCTGTTGTCCTCCTACTAATTAGATTAACTAATTACTGCCATTTAATTTTTTCCTAGTTCATTCCCTATACTTAAAACAACCAACTTCCTGCCATTTCCCGGTCATTCTACATGGGTAACTTCCTTCAAACAGACTCACAATACAGCTTTTCCAGGAAGACTCTCTTGACTGAACCTATTCCTCAACATTAATGTCATTTAAAGTAGCATGTATCCTATATTCTCTAGTTGTTTCAGGTGTATATGTATATTCTTCTACTAAGTTATAAGCTCCACAAAAACAGACACTATTACTTCTAAGTTTCTACCTCTGAACCAATTAGTATAGGGCAATACACAATGGTGAGTTTTTAATCAACATTTGTTAGAAGAATGAAAATTGAGTCTTAAAGACGGGTAGGCATCTGCCCAGATTTATCCAAATATGAATTCAGTAGCCGAATCCAGAAAGACTGCATAAGAGGGCTTTGCCATCACCTCTGACCTCTTCCTCTCCTACCCTGTGCATCTACTTGAAGCCCTGGAAGTATCTGTGTTACCTACATCATATCCCTTCTTTCTCTACTGGGAAATCCTCTTTCTGTGCTCTGAATAATATTAAAAATAACTCTTCTAGCCCTTCCTCCTCCTTCCAGCTGCCCAAAGTATACGGCTGGCAAGCTCCCTTGTTCACCTCTACTGCCTCGCCAGAACCAGGCACGTGACTCCAGCTCAACTCCTAACTTCCAATTCCTCAGGTTACCAAGAGCTATTTCAGGCCATGAAGGCCACATAGTCCCATCCTCCCCATCCTCTGGGCCATATTCTAGCTTAGCCTTTCCTGGAAGGTCCATAATACCCAATAGCCAAGTCAGCATGTCCCAACACCTATATCCATCTTATCCCCAGCTACCTTCATTTTCTACTTCTTCAGCCTCGTCTTCATCATCATCATCATCATCATCATCATCATCAATCATCATCAAATATGAAGAGCCTGTTCCCAAGTACTCTGCTGGAGCTACAAAGAATAATTTCATGTATACCTTTGCTTTCAGAGAGCTCAAAATCCTTTTTTTTTTTTTTCATAAAGAAACAAACAATGTGCAATCTTGTATTGAAAAAAAGACCAGCTAACAGGGAATTTTAAATCCATTCTGAACTGTTGGGCACTTATATGTCAAAGATGTAAGGTGAGATAACAACAAAGGGGTGCAATTTAAATTGTAACATTGTAAACTAAGTAAGTGTTAAGGAGACCTAACAAAAGGGAACGAACTTAACCAGAGAAGACTTCCTGGAAGAGGTAAGTTTTAAGTAATATTGTAAGTTTTATATTCAATATGGTAAAAAAAAATTTAAAAATTATTAAAGGTACATAGTGATAGGTAAATTTCCCTCTCGTTCTTCATCCCGTCCCCCAGTTTCTCTCTAGGAAAAGGCACTGGTACCAGTGTATAGTGTATATTTCCAGTGGGAATCAAGATATTGAAAGCAATGAGGGGGCATAGATTGTCGGAGAGCATGGGAGGGCTTTTATATCAGTGCCTTGACAGGGGACCAACATGCTACACTTCTTCCTAAATATGTTCTCTTCTTAACACACTTACCGAGTTGCTGAGCTCTGAACAGAACTCTGAATCACCTTTTATAACTTTTACCAATTTTTCCATATCCACTTTTCTTCCTCCCTTTTTCCGTTTCTGGGCTGGGATGCCCTCTATCTAGAACTTCTCTGATTGGCTGCTCTCTGGCCTCTCCATGGAGGAGGGGAAGCACTCCCACCCTTTTGTGGGGGAGAAACCATTGAGCCTTTTAAAGTGTAGCCGCCACTCTATCGCCTTAACCTGGCAATAGAGAATTAGGGAATCGAAAAGTGCCCCTTCTGTTGGCCTTGGAGGCCTTCAGCTGCCCGCCGTCCTAGCCTCTTTGTTGGGATTTTCTGCAGCAGAAGAGTCCTTCTTGGTACTTCTTTCTGAAGTTTGAGCACTGTTGCGCTTTCCTTTCTACCCTAACTCATGTCACCGCCAGTGGAGATACGCGCCTTCTCTTTCTCTGAGGCTATTGTCCCACATCTCCACGCCTCTGCTTCCCCAAGTCTGTGGGGGATTTTGGGGTGCGTTATCGCTGACGGGAGGAGTTAGCTCCTGCGGAGGCATTATGGGCTGGGTGAAATTTGGACAGCCTTTTGGTCCTCAGGTCGGGAGGCACCGCAGGGCCAAGGCCCGAGTTGCCTCTAGAGTCTTGTGGAGGAACCCCGGGGCCGCCAGACTGGAGCAGAGAGCACAGTGCGGCCAGCCTGGGGAGCCGGGTAACCAGCGCGTGAGGTCGGGGAGCCGGGGCCGCTCGGGCCGCCAGGGCAA